GCTTTTGCTCCCTCTCAACCCTCACCCTCATTTGAGGCTGAGCCCTAAAAAAAGGTCCCTGAGCCGAGGCCCAAATGATTAATTTCTCACAGCCCTGTCCTCAAGACAGCTCACATTTGCCTTGGGCAGCCCCTTTCTGGCCCCACTCCTCAGGGACCTCCTCAGGGCCTTCTCCTTTAACCCTAACCCTAATGTTATGCTGAGCTCTGAGCCAAGGGGATAAATAGTAAAATATCTCCCTCTCTTTGCTCCTGGTGGTGATGGAGCAAGGGGCTAATCTCGGCACTAGCTTTCCCCTGTCGCAGGGGGTGAGGGATTCATGCTGCTGCTATTCCTCCTGCTTTTCCATTCCAGTGGGGGAGAGGGATCACAGGGTGAAATAGGGCAGTGGAGGTTGATTGTCACAGTGTATATGGGCTTTAGATTGATGTGACCCAGATTTGTATGGTTTGCCTTCCCTCTGTTGTGTTCCTTGATGGGCAAGTAAAGGGAGAGATCCAGATCATCATCTCTACTGGGGTGCCTATGACTAACGTTACATATGGTCTTTATTAAAAAAAACCAAGTCCCCAAACTTCCCTCCCCACCTCCAAAAAAAAAAAAAAAGATGATTGTGACTGTATTGGGTAGCATTTTAAACAGATATAAGCAAACAAGAATTTTTCTGGTATGGTCCTGATGTACTCCACTGTATTTCATCATCATCACAGTATCTGAGTAGCTTTCAAAAATGCATAGTCAAATGAGAAGCATTTGGTTCTTGCAGCTGGCTGGCTGTCTTTCCCTTTTTCCGAGGACGGTTGGGATCAGTGTGGCTCAGTTTACCCCTTCTTTGATAACAGCATCCTTTGAACCTAATATAGCTAACTTCTAGGTCACATCAGGGTTGCGTTCAGATAGTGATAAGCACTTGTTTAAAAAACAAACACACACCCGCACACCCCCAAACAAGCAAAAGGTTTTTAGTGGTAGTGATGGCTGTGAAAGTACTATTTTAGAGGACCTCTTGATTGTGGGGGAAAGTGTGCCCTTTTTTTATTATTGTTTTGGAGGAATGAAAAACCTTTTGACTATTTTCTAGAAATAAGTTTGCGTTTCCATGAAAATTTCACATCCACTTGATGCTTGCTTTCCATTGTCCTATTTCACAGTGGTTTTAGAAGTACGGACTGCCCTATATACCTCCCTTCCCTCTGTGTGTGTGCGCGCGTGTGTACCTATGGGCATTCCTTCAAACCTACCGTCTTACAGAGTAGCCAGCGTTTAGTGACCTCCTGCAGCTGAAGTTTCCTCTTCTGGGCATCAGCACTGATTTTATGCATCCTGGCACGTGAAGCTCTGGAGCGCGGCCCCTGACCCCGCGCGGCTCCCTGGCCTGGAGCTGTCCTGCGCCACGCTAACGCGTGCCGCTTTTCTTCCCTCCTGCTCTCCCAAGCGCTGATAAGATGCTGCATCTTTTTTGATGTGTGTGTGACTGACAAATGCGTTTCAGGTGACTTTGGTAGACTTCTTGGAAAAAAAGGGCTGGGCTTCTCTGACTGAGACTATTAATTTTTTTTGTCTTTTAGATAAAAGCATTAAGTGATATTGACTGGTTGCCTGGATGGTACAGCTTATGCAGAGAAGGAGATTTATGCTTCAGTATCTCAGCCCTGTATCTTGGTTTAATTATCACAGAATCACAGAATCACAGAATCGTTTAGGTTGGAAGGGACCTCTGGAGATCATCTAGTCCAACCTCCCTGCTCAAGCAGGGTCACCTAGAGCATATTGCCCAGGATCACATCCAGACGGGTTTTGAATATCTCCAGCGAAGGAGACTCCACCACCCCTCTGGGCAACCTGTTCCAATGCTCTGTCACCCTCACAGTGAAGAAGTTTTTCCTTATGCAGTTTAGTCAGCTGCTTCATGAAACATAAGTACATGGTCACACAAAAAATAAAGTGAAATAGTCTATCTGGCCATCTTGAATCTTAAATAAAGATGGTATTGTTTTGAATGTGTTAAAAAATAAGAGAATTTTCTTTTCCTATTTGCAGAGATTATGATAAACCTTAAATCAGATCATTCAGAATTAGAGACCTGAAACCAGGAAGACTTTCAGACCCTAATTTCTTAATCACAATATATCTTTTATTTATTTAATGTATTTTCGTGAACTCCTATGTTTTTCCATATCTTCTATAAAAGAAAAAGTCTCACCGTTGATCTGTATGTGCAGGTTTGCTTGCACACAAATGAGGCAAATGTTGTGGCCTATAGTTTGCTTTCAGAATTCAGGGCTAATTCCAAAAATCCAGTTTCATTTTGATTTCAGTGGGTCCAAGCTTGAGTATGAACCTTGAGGTTTGTCTCTGAACAACCCACCTCTGTTCTGGTGCCCGTCCGTTTTTATTTTTAACTCTTAAGCAACAAAGCATATATTTCAACTGGTTTTTCCAGCGCTGAGACTTCTGGCTTTTCTTCTTCACACCAGCTGCTGACAGATTTTAAGGTGTGTGTCTCTGCATATTTGAAGAAGCATCATAGATATCAGTGACAGCTGGGCTTTGAAATATTCTTGGCAGGCAGCACAAAGTGCACGGGGAGAGAGTCATTATGAACATTTTCAGATCGTACTTGCTTCAAGTGATAAAGTCTCCTAATAATGACCCCTTCTATTTGATCTTGAAAAGCTGTGAAACTTTCTCTGGGTCCAAAAAGAGAGATCCAGTGATGAAGATCGAGGATCCAAGCAGCGTTTTTATGACAATAAGATTAATTTTGATGGCTTCTACACACTATTTAAGTTTCATCTTTTTGTGGTGGCCAAAGGTGTCCAAACTCATGTAATTTCCTTCCTTCGGCCCTCTGGGTTTCTATGGGTCTCTTTCCTTTTTTGCAGTTTTAGCTGCTGAAGGTAGAAAACAGGCTTCTTTGCATTTTGAAGGTGAGGCTTTCTGATTTGAAGTTCAGTGATTTTTTTTTTTTATCCTTTACTAGCTTAATGTGCAGTGCATTCCTCAGCAAGGTAACTAATTGCAACATTTAATGTTCAGTCGCATACAATCAGATAATTATATAATAGGAAGAAATTTGTATTTGCAGATGCTGTTATCTGCTTCAGGTGTGAACTGAAATATTAGAAGTCTGTAAAAGCAAAACACTCCCAAGTCCTGTGCAGTTATTTTGGACACGTTTCCAGCATGTCAGGAGAACATTACACTGTATACATCATGATTATATAAAAACTGATTGCAAGCTCCCAAACCAGCTATTTGCATAAACCGCAAACTGCTAGACTGCTGTGCCAGTGGCCCCAGCTGTAACGCTGTAACCCTTACAGCAGTGCCTGTGTGTAGCATGGGATCTTTCTGATACACCCTGCAGTAAAAATGTATCTATGCTTTTGAAGGTGTCTCTTAGTACCTGCTGCAGAACCTTTCCCAATGCTTAGAGTTGGTAACCATTGGCAGTTTTGGCTAGGAGGCTGTGATTCAATATTCCTTTTTTTTTTTTTTATTTAAAACATGAAGGGTGGTAATTATTTTCTTTTAACTGTTAATTTTTGACCTTTGGACAAGGATCCTACTATCTAGGTGGTTAGGACTTGAAGTCTTCTTAACTTTGATCAGCCACAATGTGTTTTACTCATACTTTTTCTTTTTTTTTAAAGGTGTACTTAACATTTTTAGAGGAAACAAAAGTTTATTGCTGACAGAAAGTCCTTTCTCTCATATCCTCCCTAGAATTTTCAGGAATTTTTGCAAAAATGACCTCTTATTCAACTTTATGACCATTGGAAGAGTCTGTGAGGCAATTCATGGGGCTGAATCTTTGGATGCTTCATATCTTGACAGACCTCAGTGTCTATAGTTCGTACTGTAAGGTCCAAAGACATGTACTTTAAAACTTTGTGTTGTGAGGCTGGAATGTCTGCTTATGTTGATGTTCTTCCATGTCGGATCATGTGTAGAATTAGAGTTAAAGCTCTAGAAGTAGATATTATGTGCGTGTATTGTGCATGTGTACACACACATGCACACACCCACCCACCCCCACCCACACTCAAAGAGAGAAAATAGGTATTTATAATAATGCTATATAAAAATTTACTTTAAAATTAAAAATAAGGCATATGTAAATGATATGAGAACATATTCTCATAAGAATGTATTTGCACGAGAGACATATGAATACTGAATTTTCTGTTCCTAATGTTATTTATTGCATTTGATCTTTTGTTAGTGTTTTCCTAGTAAGGCTTAAGTCTTACTCTTGTATTTTACTTGTTAAAACTGCAGTTGCCAACCCAGTGTAGCTGCCACACTAGGCTGTTTCCCAGTGGGCAGGTGTTATTGTGTGTGCCTCGTGTATTGGGAGAGGGTAATGTTAGGGGCTGTGCTGCTGAGGCTGTCTGGGGTACTCTGCAAACATTACAGAGTGATCACCCACTGCCTCCACATAGCATGTTTAGCCTTGTTTGGGGGCTGGCTCCTTAAAATAAATAAATAAAAGCTACTGAAAGCTGTAGGTTACAGAGGCTGCGGAGAACAAGAAAACACAATGCTGAGGGTGGGTTGGTGTTCCACGGACAAAATCTGGCTTCCTTTTATAGTGTGAAAGTTAGATAAATTTTATTTCTTAAGGCTCTATTTTAAAAGTACGTTCCAGGTTATGTTTCTGCTCAAGAAAGTCTTTTATAAGGAAAGCATCCTGACAGAAACTTTGGGCTGGTTCCACTAATGGAAGAGACTGTAATGCCTAACTGGCATTTACTATAACTGAACATGAAATATCCTGAAATACAGGATTATGCAGTTTTATAAAAGCATTGTGGTGTTTGTCTTTTTATTATAGACATTAGACCTTGAATTAGAGCAATTTGTTTGACTTGTGTGTCTGCTAGTCATAATACAGCATGAAATGTCTTAACTGTTTTAAAGCATGTACATAATTACATACGTTACATACGTTACATAAAGTTACTGAATACTTCTGTCCTGTTCTCCTCTTTCAGATGGGATTCACATAGCAGAGTAAGGATTTCCATTTCTGAAATACGGGTGTGAATGTGATTGAAGGACTTACATGGAGAATTCTGACCTTAGTTCCTTCCTGCTCCAGGAAGGATAGGTGAGTGAACTATGGGACAATTTGTAATTAACTTACGCCTTACTTCAGAAGGTTTTTAGTCAAAACAGGAAGATGCAGTTCAGATGGCTGCAAGTAAGAATAGAAGAAATTTCAGATGCTGCAGACACACCCTTCAATTACAAACCCCAGCCTTAGGAGAGTTTTCTGTTCCTGTTTAGTAGCAGGAGAGTTTCCATAAAGAGTGACATGAGGTTTCTATAAATCACATACTGCTTTTTCTTTTCTCCCGACTCCTCCCAGCCTTCCAAAACTCTCTTCAGTATAGAACTTTTTATATCTTCTTATATTTTTGTAGCTTTTTGCCCAAAGCCAAAAAAGTCTGAACTGACAAAATGAATTTAGCCTTTCTTGAAGCAATTCTGAACTGGAAAACTCCAGCTGGAGAAGAGCTTGACGTGGAGTTTTATCAGGTTTCTGCTTGTATTTGTTAGTGAAACAGAAATGTCATCGTAGGCCCCAGATCCATCCATAAGGCATCTGGGCTACTTGTGAAGCATACTGGAAGGGAGATAATGTGGTAATGATTTCCAGCGACTGGAAGCTGTGCTTGGATTTCCCCTTCCCTTGCTCCTTCCCTCCCCTCAGAGGAGAAGAGAGAACTTGGGAGCCAAACCCTGAAAAGGTAAAGATGGGAGTTCATGTCAGGCTGTTTTACTTGGATATGACCGTAGATATGTGGGGCTATTACTAGGGAAGGGCGTGTGATTTTGTGGAATTAATATTGACTCTTACCTCTTCCACCTTTCTGCCTACCTAAAACATACCTTTTCCTGGTCCTGACTAGTGAATAAATCAATGTTTCTTAGTACAGCCTGTTCAAAGCAGGAAGACCTCGTTTCTGTTGTAAAAGCGTAAGGTGGTGGATGCTCAGCTTTTTGCACAGGGTTTTCACTTCTGCATCTATATAGGCGGATCAGGAGCTACTGATGCTCAGCAGTGCATAACAGGATGAGCTTTTGAGTACAGATATCACTGACCAGACAGCTGCTGCACCAAGCAGTGACACAATGATAAATAGTTAAGAACTAATAAAAATGAGCTCTAACACTAAGCAGAGTAGCGGCAGTATCTTTGAATTAACTTAAACGTTCTTATAGCTTAGATTCATTTTGTCTATAAAAGCTATTATGCAGTGCTGGAGCTATCCAGTGTAGCTTAAGAGTGACCTCATAAGTGAGTCTTCCCCTTACATGTGTGAGGGCAGGCAATACCAAAACAAAAAACAGATTTGGCCACGACTTTTGTCTAATTCAGAGGGACAGAGCTGAGATGTTGCCATACTGCCTATGATCCTCAAGCCCGAGGGAAATATGTAGGAAGAAGATAAAGGCTATGACAGTGACGTTGCTGTATAGATGGTGGTTAGGAGGCAGTCTGAGGCTTTTGCCTGAAGCAAAAGTATGAGAAAGGTGGAAGTTTGTTGGAGAGAAAGCAGTAGTATACAGAGAGACGGAGCAGGCTGCAGCGAGGTAAGAAAGTGTCTTGGTGCTTGGAGGAGGAGAAGGGTAGGCACCAGCATGAAATGGGGGCCCGCAGGTGTCAGAGCATCTGGGGTTCAGTGGAGGATGGAAGGAAACATGGGAACAGTAACTTGTATGGCATCTCCAGAGCAAAGCATGGGATGAAAGGATGCAGTGAAGTAGGTGGGAATATTTCTGTTGAACTGTATATGCCAAACATTTTTTCCACCATAGATGTTTCTTGGTGGGTTGTATTTCGGTGCAAGTGTGGAAATGTCTCCCCTGCAGTGGGTGGGAGAGAAAAGGCAACAACAAGATTGAGAAGCCATAGTAAGACTTTTCTGAACTGGGAGAAAAGAACAAAGGGACGAGAAATGTGCAAGCAATAACAGGAGACCAGGTTTTTTGGAGTGGAATTTTGGAGGGTCAAGGGAGAGATGCAAAGCAGTAGGATTCAGTTTCTAGTTGTCTCATTTTTTTCCACCATTATACTGCAAATGACAGCTACTACTGAAGGGAGGAAAACTCAACTTTCCTCAGCAAGGAAATGAAAAAGCTCATTGGATTTGTTTGCATGCCAATGAGAATTCGTTAACGTAGATGTAGGAAAGCAGTAGAAACATTTTGAGAGTACTTTCTGTATTTTCTATGTTTTGATTAAGAGGGGAATGCCTAGAGTCACCCAAGTGAGTAACCGTGAGCCTAGAAACCCACACCCGAGTGTCTTGTGATGCTTTCTAAAAAGGTACTCTTTTTCCTGTGTTTCATATGCTGACCGGCTTAGAGAAAGCTTACAATAATGTTTTTGAATTTTATTTTTGAGGTTTGTCATAGGCAAGTTCAGTCACATGCTGGCCTGTGTGTTCATTGCTGAGGGAAAGGTTTAAATGGTGGTAAATGTTTCACAGATGCAGGCTTTGCGTGAGCAGTGTTTGTCCTCTAATGGATAGGTAGGCTGTTGCTTTGTTGGTGAGATGTGGCTCCTATCTGAAACTGGGGCCGGTCTGAGGCTGCTTTAGTATCTCGTAAATTGGCATAATCTTTCAAAATGATGATCAGCCTGGCAAGGCGCAGAGCACTTTGTGCTTGTGGTTGTATTCAGTGGCAGGTTTTACCTTGTGCCTGTTTTTTCCTGGCTACAACTGTGTTTGTGAAGTGTGTGGTATATTGGTTTTACCAGAAGGAGACTGGAGTTGGAAACACAAATACGTGCCAGAAAAGTACTTGTTACACGCATCTGTCCTTGCACAGTCCCTGCGTGGTGTCATATGGAGTTGGAAGAACTGTTTTGTTTTAGGAAATGCCTAAGTACGTGGCTAACGTTTGCTTCCAGGAGGGGCATTATGTTTTCCCAGGTGTTCCCTCTTTGAACTTTTGTCTGGGTCGATTCTGAGGGTTTTGGGAGTTTGTCCTGATGTTTCCAGCACCTGGTAGCGCTAAGCACCTGGTAGGTAGGTGCTGTTGGCTGTGCTGTGCTATGGTCAAGCCTGGCACCCTGAGCAGCGCGTTAGAGGTTAGAGCTAGATCAGTTGTAGCTATGCTGCCGCTTTCGGGGAGCGTCAGACTTGCTTTGCCCGTGCTCCCCGGTTGCTGTCGCACAACTGCACACAAACATGGCAGATGCTCGCAAGGCCTGCAGAAAAACAACGTGCTCACGAGCGCCAGCGTTTAGGACCTTCTACAGCTGGCAATCGAGGCTGGAAATCTTTCTGCAGGCCTGGGAGTATTTCCACTCCCAGATATGCTAACTTAGGAGCTTGCACTCCATATGGATTGTGTGGCCTTCTTGTTCAGTGTCTGTTTCTAACCCTGTACATACTTGTGTGTGTTGTTGTTGGGTGTGTATTTTTTTTTTTTTTTTTACTTCTCAAAATTTAGGTATAGCAGACATTCCATTGGGTCTGTAAAGATGCTGACCTAGCACACCAAATGGAAGAGTATGATGAAGTGATAAACGTTTCAAGCCCCTGGCCTTTTATCTCTGGTCTTTTTTTTTTCTTTTTTTGTCTTTTTTTTTTTTCTTTTTAAATGCTTCTTAAACTTAAGTGATTGAAAAGCTTTCCAGATCTGATAACTGAAAAGATTTCAAGTGAAACTTTTGGCTCCTATCCCAGCATGAGATCATACAAAGTGATATTAGCTGAATTTGTAGCAGAGTTTGAAAAGAAAATGAAAACATGTTACTGTTGGTCTCTCTCAGCTATTTTTCAGCTCTGGTGGGCAAAAGCTTGCTGAATGATTAACTTTGGTTATTGCTGTAAAGGTTTCCAAATACATATGTACATACATACACAAACACAAAATGTCCTCTGTGTGTGTGTATACATACACACACACACACACACACACACACATATATATATATAGTGATACTGTACACATTTTCTCCACTAATAATATATTTAATTTATACTCTATCCTTTGATCTTTTATCCTTGTTTGCAGGGTGGTGGTGGTGGTTCTTATTTTGTTTTTTAATAGAGGTTTTAAACTCTAGTGTAGCTAAGCAAAAACTCACTTTAAGAAGAAGGATATCCTGAAGCTGTGTTCCTATTTCAAAACTATATTGAAACTAAACAGAGCTGGGGTATCTTTTCTTTAACCTGTCTTTGCATCTGGTCGCTATGGTAGGCTTCAGTGAAGGCAATTGTCTTATGCATGTGTACATACCTAATGTGGGTAAAAGTGTGTCAATTGCACGTGCATTGCATATGTTCTGTGGATTTCCTGTACAGAAGTAAAATAAGATCATGTCTTAAGTTTTGCCTATAGATTACTAAATGGTGCTGAACTTCCAGGTTGCAAAATCAAGCAATTGGAGGCTAGAAAATTCTAGAATTAAAGCTACTCATTCACCCTCCTTGTAAATATTCATTGTGATTACCTTCAATTAGAGGACTGCATACCATTTTTTTCTACGAGGCCTGCATATCATTCAGTGCACAGCATGGTTAATGCTTAATGAGCGGGTAGGCTGCTGATGTTTTGTTTCTCATCATTTATTGTATGGCCTTATTTACTGCATGTCTGGCAGATGGTGCACTGCATATAGAACTATTTGTTTCCTCATGGAGTTTTTTGGGGTGTTAACACCATAAAGAGTTACTTCACCACATATTTTTCAGGGAATCTTAATCACGAGTGCAAAATAAGATATAAAAGATATTTAGCCACACTGAGCCTCAACTGTTAATATCCTGAGGAAATCGGATAAAGCGCAGTTGTCTTTATGGAAGTCTTGGAGGCACTAATGGTTTGTACCATCTCTGTATCCCACTCTTCTCATTTTTCTCCAGCTGCAGATAGAAGGTGGGTGAAAGCTCAATCTGTGTCATGAGGTGTCTCCACAACTGAAGGAATTTGATGGAGATATTCTAAATATTGCTTCCTCTCTGCCCCACCACAGTGTTTGCTTCTTCCTGTTATTAATTCTACTTAGGAGCTTGCCTTATTGGGAATAGTCTTCTGTAATTGAAGGTAACTGTGCAATAGATATTTGATCTGGAAAGGAATTAACGG